AAAATGGAAGCCTCAAAACCTGAACCAACCATCCTATTGGATAAAAAATGACCTTCCGAAGCTAACAACGCCGACGAAATTCTCATCTGATCACGTTTACAAAAATTGTCAAGCAAAATCAATTTTTTGTCCAAAAGTTAAAAGTTAAAATGCCTAACGGCACTAACTGAAAATGAAAACCTCAAAACCCGAACAAACCATTCTATTAGATAAAAAATGACGTTCCATAAAGCTAATCACACTATGGAATTCTAATCCGAGCACGTTTACCAAAAATATTGACCAAAGTCAAATTTTGGCTAAACCTTAAAAGATATTGAGCAAAGTCATTTTTGGTCATCGCGGTTAGCTCCGGAAAGTCATTGTTGGTCAAAATGACGACCTTAATTTTTCCATTGGTTGATCAATTGCTTTCTCTTCATCACTGACACCATTAAATACTCCATTTTCTCAGATTCATAATCAGATAAGGCATCGTCATTATTTTGTTCATCTCAATGAGCGTCCATATTCTTAACCACATTTTCATCTTCTTCATCGTTAGTGCACTGGAAAAAATTTCACCTTCAGCTTCTTCAAGATTTTTATCTAATATTTACTTTTGTTTCAACACTAGATGATGATTTACCAAACAATTTAACTTCTCAATTGGTAAATTTACCAACTATTCAAATATCAGTTAGTAATTTAATAATTTACCGATAAATTTTATCACAGTTGGTAATAGTTACTATCCAATTAAACATTCATGTGTAATATTACCAACTAAAAATTAATATATTGGTAAATATTACCAACGGATTAATGATCGGTTGGTATATTACCAACTATTTTAATTATGTTAGTAATTTACAAACTACAATCTTTATTCGTCGGCAAAATTTCCAACTGATTAGTTATTTGTTGGCAAGTTTACCAACAAATTATATTTCGTTACTAATTTACCAACATTTATATTTGGTTGGTAATTTAGCAACAAAATATTGCCGTTGGTAAATGGTTTGTTAGTAATTCATTGGTAATTTGTTAATAAATTATATAAACAAATTTGTTGTCATATTTACCAACCGATATATGCTTCGTTGGTAATATTACTAACAAAAGAAGTGCGTTAGTAATATTTCAGTTGGTAATTCATTAGTAAAAAGTTGCTAAATTTGGCGCCATTTTTTTCCGCCATATTTACCAACTAAAATATTTTGTTGGTAATATTTTGGTTAGTAATCCGTTAGAATTTTGTTGTTAAGTTTTCAAAAATAATTCGGTTAGAGATATGTTGGTAATTTGTTAGTAAAATACTAACCAAGTGATGTTGTTAGGAAAATCTGTTGGCAATTTGAGGTTTTTTTGTAGTGATGATAACGGGAGAAAATGTAGGAAGACTAGACATTGTGTTCGGACAACTACTTTTTCAAATGGCTTTGATTTATTATCTATTTAACAAAAACTTTTATTGCTGCTACCTGCAATCTAGTTTGTGAATTGTTTGTTGGCTATGTACGATAGTGCAACTACATTCATGTCATATTTGTTTGGATA